TGAGATAGAGCGGGGAGTTTTGCCACAGTGTGACCTCGCAGATGCCACTTGAGCTCTCTGGTCTGGCTCTTTGACCTGACAAAATTAATGGGATTTGGCAGGAGCTGGCACACTTGATGCACTACCTGGTACCTATTTTAGGCTCTGTGGCCATATGCCTTCTGCGGTAACTGCTCACCTCTGCCACGCACAGCAACCTGCTGCAGACAATATGGAAACCAGTGGGCATGGCTGTGTTCCAATAAAACTTTACTTATACAAACGGACAGCCGCTGGTCTGCCCAGGGCCAGCACTTTGCTGACCTGTGCTTTGAATCATTCATGTCAATTCTTTATTACTTTTGTTTTATTAAATTCATACACTTAATATTTTTCTTTATACCAACTCTTTCCTTATAGCCTGGCACACCACAGGCTGGATGAGGTAGTTATGGATCTGTGGTTGTGGCAAGCATGCAAAAGTAAAATCATAAATTAAAAAAGCCCCTGGGCCCTTAAAATCATCTCCCCCACCTTGGGTCCAGGCTCCTGCTCCTAGGGATGGTTTTTACACTCCTCAGGTACTGAGTGGGGGGATGAATGTGGGAGGGTCAGGCCCTATAACCCAACCGTGAATGCAGTAGTTCTTGCTTTCTCTGGTTTTTATGCTGGGTTTGCATCAGACTTTTGTTTGGAAATGGGGTTCTGTGGCCAAAAGCATTTGGAGTTATCTGAAAGTGGCCTCAATGAACTCAGTGCTGCAATGCAGCTCGGTGGTGGAGCGCTTGCCTAGCAAGCACCTGGCCCCGGTTCCATCCCTGGTGCCACAAACAAAACGACAAACAACAGTAACAACAAACCTCGAAACTTTTTTTTGGGTACTGGGGATCGAACTCAGGACCTTGCCCTTATGAGGCAGGCGGCGGCACCATTGAGCTAAATCCCTGGCCCTAACCTTGAAACTACTGAGCTGTGCTAGGGTTTCCTGGCTGTCTCTAGAGGCTGAGTCTCCACAGGGCCTCTTGGATTTCTTAAAGGCAAAAGGACACTTTCCCACTTTGTCCTCCGTCTGCCCCTCCCCTTCGCTGAGACACACACCCGCTGCCGATCACCTGCACACAGCGTCGGGAGCCCGGAGGCTCTGAGCTGCCCCAGACATTGGCAGCTGACTGCTCTGCTCGCTGCAGTCCCAGACCGGGCCCTATGCACCCTTCAGCTGAACCTTCAGGTGCCCCGGGGACCCCCTTTCCTCTCCAGGCTCTGGCCACCCCGGCCCCCCCCCCGGCCCCCCACTGCTACCGCCCTGGTCTGAGCCACCTTGATGACAACAGATGCAGTGTGCTCCACTCCCAGTCCCAGGGCCAGGCTGAGCGGGATGGTGGCCCTGCTGCCCACCCCGTCCTGCCCAGGGAACCGGCGCAGCCCTGGCCCCTTGCACACCCTGCTCTTGGGCATGTCGGCCGCTCTTGGAGATGCTGTTTCTACGCATCCAGTAAGCTTCTGGGAGGAGCAAGGGGGACCACTCTTCACAGAGGGATGCACCAGGCCTGGCCGCCGCTCTGCTGGGTCACTGGACTGTCTCGGCGAGCTGGCGTGTCCCATACGGGGCTTGCAGAAGCAGCCATTTCCACGGCCAAGACAAATGGAGGACACTTACCATGAAAGTGGCCCCAGAGAGGGAGAGGCGGGAGGAGGACGGAGCCCTGACCCGCTCTCTTCCCAGGACGGGAGGGCGCTCCGCTCCCCCAAGGTACAGCAAACGGTTAAAGTCATTTTCATTAAAATTTAAATTTCATCAGGCCTCCCTCCCTCCCCCGTCCCTTGAACGTTTGACTGGCAACCATTTCATATTTCAATCTCGGCAGAACAAATTGAATTAGATGTTGAAGCCGAGCTGGGCTCTGTTCACCAAAGCCTGCGAGCCGGCCCCAGCTAATCCTGTCCCAGCCGCTGCCTGGACAGAGGAGCGGGGCCTGCACAAAAGACAAAAAGGCAATCTCCAGGGAGGCGCCGGAGGGCAGGGAGGATGTGGGACGCCTGGGCTGCTGGAGATGCTCGTGCCTGCACCGGGGTCTTGAAGCCTGGGACAGACCCTGGGGCCAGCCAGCTAGGAACCAGTGCCCCAAGGAGACATGCGGGGGCCCACCTGGGCTGCTGTCCTCACACCCGGGTGCCCGCACACAGGGGCCGCTGGGGCTGGAGCCCACTGGAGGATGAGGATGTAGCTCATTTCAGCGGAAGGAGGCAGAGCTCGGGAGGGAGGGGGGCTGCTCACGCCCAGGGCCCTCCTGTCAACTGTGGATCTGCTCCCCGCCCCGAGTGGGCCTCGGAGAGGGCAGTTTGGCCACTGTGAACAGTGGGCCCTGCCCTGCCCTCCCCCGAGCAGGACCCACAGGGAAAGGCCGGGCAGACACAGCGACGCCGGGCACTCCTGTCCTAGCAGCCAGGTATGGACCAGGTAACACTGCCCTGCTGGCCCTGGGACCTCTGCACGCAGCCTGCTACAGTGCTCACATGGGAACTCCTGGTGGGCACTCACCACACATGCAGCCCTGCCAGGCCTCTCCCCCTAAGATCTGCTTAGCTTTAGAAGATCTCAGGGTGTAGAGGTTCTCCCCTGGCTTCTGCCTGGCTCCTGCCAAGGTCACTCCCCCTCAATCCACTGGCAGGGCTTCCGAGGCCTCATCCTCCGGCACCCCATGTGCACAGACCATGCAGGGTGCCACCCGCTGCCCTACCCTGCTGTCCCAGCAAGCAGGCCTTCCTTCTGGGTCCCCCCCTTTGCCGCGTGGGCCTCCTATGGTGCTGACTCCTCTGGGGGTCAGAAGAGCAGGAGGCCAGAGGTTGGGGACAACAGCAGGCTGCTACGGTCCCCCACACTGGAGGGCATGAGGGATGGGTGGGGTGTCCTGGCTGCTCCACCAGCCCCAGGTGGGCACGGGTGGGGTGGGGGTGGGGAGAAACAGGAAACAGCACCCTGCTCCCACCCGAGCCCCTTTGCTGAGCACTTGAGTGGTGGCCTCGTGTCAGCCCCCCCTATCCCCCATGTCCCCGGGTCTCACTGGCTCTCCAGGCACTTGCTCTAGTGCAACCCTGTCACAGCTCCCCTGACTCCCTGACCAGTGGCTGACCTTGCCTTCTGCACCTGACGACATTTACTGCCGCAGCTTGCTCCTGGCCATCGCCCTGCCCAGCTGGGCCTCCGGGCGTCACTTCCGGGATCTCCCCCATGTCCTCTGGGTGCCTGGACCACTGGTGCCCCGGAAGGCTCCCTGTGCAACAGCAACCGATGGTCACCCTTTTGCTGCCATGGCAAGTCTGGCGACTCAGCCCACAGCCTGCTGGATGCACCCCCCCCCCCAACTGCCTTCCCAGTGTCCCTGCTCTGTCACTCAGAGCAGTGACTGAAGGAACTGGGCCTGGGGACAGGGACAGCTGAACTGCTCAGGGGACTCAGCTCGGGTGAATCTGTACTCAGACCTCACGGGGGAAACGAGAGGAACCACACAGGAGAGACGAGGAGCCGGGACCCCAGGAGCGGCACAGAGCTCGTGCGAAGGCCCCACGGTGGGGACCTGCGGGGGAGGCCTGAGCGCTGCGAAGGGGCAGGCCCTGGTGCACAGAGGAGGCCTTGACGGCTTCAACTACGGGCAGACTCGACCCACATCATGGCTTCAGCCACAGGCCGGTGGCTGCCTGTGAAGCTCGGAGCCTGCCGCGGGGTGGCAGGAGGCGTGACAGGGACCCTGGGGCTATTTGTGAACCCCAGGACGGCAGCGCAGAGGCCAGGTGGAGGGGTTCATTGGTCACACGTCCTCTGCTGGCCCAAAATACCTGGCCCCATCGTCAGCAAGGAGAGGCCTATTTGGCTCCCTTTCCGTGGGGGCAGGAAAAGTGTGGTGGGGACAAGAGAGGACAGCTGCTCACCCATGGCAGCAGAGCGCAAGGGGAGGGAGACGCCTCACAGAGGTGCCCTGGGGACACCTCCTCCAGCAGGGCCCGGCCCCGAGCTGCTCTGTGGATGAATCCCCTCGGGACGCCAGCACCCCTGGGATGCAGCTGTCAACACGGGAGCCCTTGGGGACACTCTAGATGTGAACTGGAACAGGCTGGAGGGGACGCGGCCCTCCTGGCCTCCTCACCCCAGCCAAGTCTGGACCAGGCTGGTGAGTGGGGGCAGCGCCCGCCCCAGTTCCTCCTTCAGCCAAGCGCTTCTGTGCCCGGCCTCCCTGCTGCTCTGTCTGTGGTCAGACAGCGATTCGTATCCCGACCACGCTGTGTGACCCAGGACAGGCACCCGTGACCCAGGACAGGCGCCCGAAGCTCTCTGGCCTCATGGTGCCTCTGTGGATGAGGAGGAGACCGACGATGCAGGAGGGGTCACTTGGCCTGGCTCCAGGCCACCGAGCGGTGCAGCATCCCGAAGCCAGGCTGGACCGGACCTGTCAGCAGGCCCGTGATGCCCAGCAGCTGGGGACGAGGGCCCTGCTGGGCGAGGGCCTGGGAGCCTCTGTCTGTCCTGGTCTGTGTCAGGCCCACAGGGCTCTCACTTATTTTTGGTGACCACGAGGCTGTGCCCTGCCGCTGAGGGTGGGGACAGGAGTGCAAACCACACGCACCGGGGCTTAAGCAGGAGCCGCCGCCGCCCAGTGCAAATGGCAGGCACAGCAGGTGGGTGCCCAGCCCTGCCGCCCCCAGACCCACGGCCCTCGGGAGCCTGGTCCCCAGCCCAACCCCGCCATGGCCACTATGATGTCTGCGGGGTGTCTCCCTGGGGAGCTGGGCACAGCCACTCTGGGTCTCTGTCACTCACTGCCAATTCTCAGGGGCGAGTCAGGGTGACCTGGGGTGACCTGTGGCACCATGCAGCCCGGCTGGGGGCTGGGCCTCACCGAGAGCTGCCCGGGACCGGAGCCTCGCAGGGACAGAAATGCAGGGACTGTTTCAGGCAGGAAGGCGGCAGGGCCAGGGCCTCCTTCGGAGGTCAGTCCCTTTGGGTCCCACATGAAGGAGGCCACAAGTGCAGGTGCACATCCGGGTTTACTGGACTGACTCGCCACTCTCCAGCCGCTCTGGCTGGGCGGGCGTCACTGCCGGGCTGCAGCCCAGGAACCCAGGAACGGCCCAGCAACCATCCGGTACACATGGCTGGAACGGCCGCCTGGGGATGTGGGCTGAGGCTGAGGGCCGTGGCCCCTCCTCTGTGTCACCTGGCCTTGGGCTGTGCCGCCCTGCTCCTGGCCAGGGACAGGCTGGGGACACTGCTGTCTGGGGCGAGACCCTCGGTGTGTCCACGGCCCCTATTCTGAGTGTGGCATGGCCCCCACTGCATCCCAGCTGGGCAGGGCCAGTTGGCCTGGTGCTGGAGCTGCTTAGTGCCCTGGGGTGACAGAAGCAAGCTCGTGGTCCCTGTGACCAGGACGTGCAGGACAGAGGCCTCGTCCTCAGGACGGACGTGGGCGGCTTGGTGGGATGTGAGACTTGGCGCTGCACGGCTCTGGGTCGCTGGTCTGTTTCTCACGGAGGTCTCAGGGAGCAAGAGCTGGGGAGCCAGGAGGACCGGGGTCCAGGGGGTTCGGGATGAGCTGGGCTCTGAGGAGTCACCTGCAGTCAGGGTGCCCAGGCGTCAGCTGCTGGATGGAGGCTGGTGTCCCCTTCAACCCTGGGCTCCCACCCAGCCACCCAGCCCTGGCCACAGGAGCCAGAGCGGCTCCCCTGCCCCAGGGCCCACAGCCACGTACCCTGGCGGTTCCAGCTCACAGCTGAAGGGTCTGCTCCTCGCCATCGCTCTCGCTGTCCTCCAGCTGCCCCAGGATCCCATCCAACACTGCAGACTGCTTCTTCTTTGGGGGCTCTGCGGGGGCCCAGATGGCAAGGGGCAGCGATGGGGCAGTCCGAGAGGAAGGAGGGGAAAACAGAGAAGCATGCGTCAGCCTCCAGCCTCTCCTCCCTCTGCCAGCCGGCTCCCTCCACCTGCACCCCCGAGGACAGGGTGCCCCAAGAGGGAGGGTGGACTCCAGCAGACTCCATCCTCCCCATAGGCCTGAGGCTGAGCCCAGCACGGCCAGGGGTTAAAGAAACAAGCAAAAGCTGGTCCTGCTTCCTTGGAGGCTAGGACTCTAAGGGTGTAGTAAGTGGCTGGTAAACAGTAGGAGCTAAATACATGCTAGGGAAACAGGGGCTGAGCCCAAAATGCCCAGAGGAGCAAAGGGCTAACAAGTAGGAGTAGTTTGGGAGAAGAGGGGCTATTTGACTTGGGCTTTGATGAAAGTAGAGGAGTTTTCTGGGTGGAGATGGGGTGAGAACGGGACTCAGGTGCACACTGGGAAGAAAGCAGGGAGTATGAAAGGGCACAGTGGGCTGAGCAACACAGATGTGGACCTCCCAGGCCCCATCTCCACGGACTGAGTGTCCCCGTGTGTGGCCTGCCTCCTCCCTCGAGCCCACTGGCAGGTGCTGTGCCCACCTGTGTGGGTTAGGGAGTGGACAGGTGGGTCCAAGGCTGCCCAGCCAGGAAGCGGCGGGGCCAGGACTGAAGCCCAAGTCACCCCCAGAGAAGAGCCTGAGGCCGTGAGGCGCGCCGGTCCCCGGGGCTCCAGGCTGCCTGGCCCAGTCCCTCTGCGGTGGTCTGGTCACTCCCTCACGGGGCTGGCAGGAGATGCCGGCTGTCCCTCCCCGCGGGGTGGGGTCCGGTCCTGCCCCTCTGTGGAGCCCGGTCAGTGCTTCCTGTAGGCGGCACTGCCTCCTCTCCGCCCTCCCTGCCCAGCAGGGTGACCTGGGTCCTGCAGTCTCACCCCTCCCGGAGTTGCCGAGACCCTGCCCCTTCCCACCTCCTCCACGCAGCTTCCGGTCAGCCTCTCCCCTTCTCTGGGGCCCTGCTCCTCCCAGCTGAGACCATCCCCTCCAGAGGAGGGACCCAGAGCTGGGTCTCTCCTTTTCATTCTCTGTCTGTTTTTTCTTTTTGAGCAGAGTTCTGCTGTGTGGCCCAGGCTGGCCTGGAACTCGCAGCAATCCTCCTGCCTCAGCCTCCTGAGTACTGGGATCACAGGCGTGCGTACCACACCCTGCTCCTCCCCTCTTTTCCTGTGGTGCCCTCTTCTCTGCCTGGCACCAGAGGGCTGGCGAGGAGGCCTGGGCACAGGAGAGGGAGCCGGGCTGGGGGAGCATAGCAGTGAGAGGGGCAGCGGCCGCACCCATCATTGTTAGCGGCGGGGGGAGGGTGGCCTTGCCTTCCCTCCTGCACAGCCCACTCATAATCGGAGGCCCAGAGGCGCACAATGGGCTCTGGAAATTGCATTTGCAGGCAGGTGACAAATGCTGGCAGCTAGGTCAACAAAATAGGGCTTTGGAGCTAGAAGGGCAACAAAATAGGGCCTGCTGCCCGGCCCTGCCCACCCCTCCCGGTTGCTGACACCAAGATGGCAGTGCCTGCTTTCAGCGCTGGCTGGGCTGGTCTTCCTGCAGCCCGAGCCCAGGGCTGGCCAGGGGTGAGTTCTCTCCCCATTTGCTAAGGTGGCTGTGCTCTCAACCAGATCCGAGCAGGGCCTGGTGGTGCACACTTATAATTCCAGCTGCTTGGGAGGTGGAGGCAGGAGGATGTTCGAACTCGAGCCAGCCTGGGCCACACAGGGAGACCCTGTCTCAAAGTAAAAGTCACCAAGGGCCGGCGTGCGGCTCAGTGGTAGAGCACTTGCCTGGCACAGACCCCACCTGGCTGTTTCACTCTTGACCTCTCTGCCCAGCAGGGCAGGCCCATTGACCCTCATCGATAGGTCCCTGCCCTATCTCCAAGCCTAGAACAGTGCCTGGCACGCGGTGGATGCTCAGTGTTGCTGAGTGACTGATGGAAGGACAGGGAGAGCTGAGGGTCAGGGGTTCACGCTGCTGAAGGACAAACAGAAGCAGAGATGAGGCTGAGAGACGTTTCCCCTCCTCCCACGGCAGACATGGCCGCCAACAAGAGCAGCTCAGCCCCCTGTAGGACGAAGGCCCCAGACATCTGCAGCCCAAGGGAGGACGAGCCTGGTGACAGGGAGGCGCTTGCTCCTCTGTTGGACGATCAGGGCAGCTTCCTGCCGGTGACAGCGTGACCAAATCAGTGTCCAACAGACTTCCACCCCAGGCCCTCGCTCCACCGTGGTGGCAACTGCCCTTTGGCATAGAGCTGTGGGGACCGCTTGGTGGCACCCAGCACCCTGACCCCTCTCCACCTTAGCACCAGCTGGGCTCCCCGCTGCCCTGGAGCTGGGCTTCGCTGCTTCCGGCCCGGTGGCCAGACCCACTGTCCTACTCGGCCTGGACACCAGCCCCACCCCCACCCTCTGACCCTGCCTGAGGGCCTCAGCTTCCTCTCTGCCACCCCGGCTTCAAAGAAGCTCAGTGGGGAGCCAGGTGCCCTGCAGGGGAGCACTTGGGGTGAAGGAAGCACCGGGTCCACTCCTACTGCCCCCGGCAGGAGCCCCGCAGTCTCCAGTCCAAAGCCAGGGTTCAGGATGGTCCCACCCCCCCCCCCCCCCCCCGGATGCACCAGGATCCAGCTCCCCCCACCTCAGACCCCGGCGCCCTGCAGGCCCGCTTGTGTGTGCAGCACCCCGACCACCCAGAACAGCTGCCAACGTCCCAGTTCCCCGACATCAAAAGCCTCGGTGGGCTTCACCAAACAAACAGAATGCACAACCGGAGAAAGGTGTAAAATAAATAAATGAAACAAGCTGTGCATTTTCTTTCAGTGTTACAGCTGCACCCGAAGATAAACAACAAATGAATGTCACCAAACATCAATACCCGGGAAGTTAACTCGCCAAAAGCTCAGCCGCCCCCAACAGCCCCCTAGTCCTGCCCCCAGCCCCCAACCTCCAACCACCGAGTCTGCACTTCTGGAGTTCCCACCTAATGATTTTATTTTTCAATGAATTCCTTGACAGAATGCCAGCCTGAGTCGCTCCCCTCCCTGGCTGGCGAGGACGCCCTGCAGCGCCTGAGGCCCAGGCGGATGGAGAGAAAGGCGGGCGGGGCCGCGGCTGTCCGGGACCAGAGGCAGCGCTGCTCCTGCTCAGGGTTTGGATTGGGAGGGAGGCAGTGCTGAGGAAGGGAAACTGGGGTCTGAAAAGGGTCTGAGACAGGTCCTAAGAAGAGGTGGCCTGACAGCCAGGGAGGGGACGGGGCTGGGCCGGGCGGGGCCTCCAGACGAGCCCTGCTGCTTCAGGCTGGGAGACCTCGCGCAAGTAGTTTCACCTCTCTGGGTTGGGTCTGCCGCTACTGAATGACAATGGCATTTACAGCGCCCACTGCCTAGGATGTTTAAGGTGTGCACGCCTGTAATCCCAGCTGCTCAGGAGGCTGAGGCAGGACGACTGCAAGTTTAAGGATAGTCTGGACCTTATCATAAGACCTCATTTCAAAAAAAAAAGAAAACAGGGTGACTGTCAGGCTGAAAGCCCGTGCCTGGCACACAGTGGACACTCAGCATAGGGTGCCACTACTCTGCTTTCTAAATCAGGGCAGTGACACCAGACCCGGGGCCAAGGGGGACCACATGGATGACACAGGGTCTCCCTGGTGGCCCGTGAGGGCATCCACATGACGTGCTGTGAGAAAGGAAATCAGTTTTGGCATCGACACGTGGGTGCTGTGCCCAGAGCCTGCTCCCCGGTTGCTGCGCTGTGCACACCTGCACGCCAGCCTGTCTCTGCCTGCCTGGCTGTCACTGCTGCCTGTGTCCTCGCTGTGCCTGGAGACGGGAGCTAGGCTGGCGCGGTGTTGCCTGCCTGTCCCGGAGTCCCCGAGATGGGCCAGCAGGGCCTGGCATCAGCAGTGTGGCCCTCTGGGGGCTCCCTCTGCTCCAACAGCTGCCACCAATCCCAGGGGTCACCAGCCACCTGCGATTCCACTGGAGAACATGGCGTGAGTGCTGAGGGGGGCTCGGGTGCCCTGACGGGTTGCCCTGCCCCAGACTCCATCTTGCCGTCCCCCTGGGCAGAGCCCTCAAGCTCCCTGACAGGCCCTTGCCCAGCGCAGTTCACAGCTGGTGCTCAGGAACCAAGGGCACAGTCTGTCCCCGGAGCCAGCACTCAGGACTCAGTGACCCACCCGCCTCTGCTGCCTCCCAGACTTGGTGCAGAGCTTCACTCCAGACTCCCAGCTCTGATCTGCTGACTGGGACCACGGTGGCACTGTTGGTCTCCTGGGGACCAAAACCCCCAAGGACAAAGTGCAGCGGCTGGGGGGGGCACACTGGGGCTCGGGGCGGTGGAACTGGGGTGATGTACACTCCAGGGCCTCTGCACTCCCCAGTTACTTGTGCACCAACAGGGACCGGGAAGTGGTGCCCAGCAGAGGATCTGGTGACACAGGGCCCAAGGGTGGGCAGCCCAGGGCCTGGCTCTCAGGGTGCTGAGCTAACGTGGAGAGTGAAATCAGGGCTCCTCGAGGCTGCCCCAGAAGAGGAACAGGGCTCAGCAAACGGAAAACACAGCTACTCATCCTAGGGCTGGGGACACAAAACAGGGACGTGTCTCCAGGCACCTCTGGCTCTGCGCAGCGGGGCGGGTGTAGATTCTCCCAGTCCCAGTCCCAGGAGCTGGTGACATCACTGACCCAGTTTTCAGCCCAGGAAGTGGCTGTTCTAGGGCTCTGGGAAGTCATGTGACCGTGGCAGCCTCTCCGTGTGGGGCCTGGCACAAAGGGTGGCCGGCTTCCCCTACAGACGAGCCCAAGGCCACTGGTGTGGCAGTGGCAGATGGCCATTCAGCCCTGCTTTGGAAGGAAGGATGCAGCAGGAGAGGTGGAGAACACACTGGGGCTCCTGGCAGCACCCACACTACATCCACAGGCTCCTTGAAGGCCAGAGGTCAA